GAATATCAAAGTAGCCCTAATTTATAAAGTCATAATTTAACTTATATTTTTAATTAAATAGTTGTACTGATATTACTTTTTAGTGAGTTAAACTTTCTATGCCTTAATTTAAAACAATTCTAAAATTAAAATTAATCAAACTAAAAATATTTAATTTTTAATGATTTTCTAAATTAATTAATTACATAGTGAGAAATATTTTTTTTCTAAAGATCAAGTTTATTGCCAATTTATAAGTTCTAAATTACATGATAACGATAATAACATATATACCATATAATTGTATTCTCGCTGTACTTAAACTAACCAATGCGATTCTAACAAGGTCATATAACAGGGCATGTCGAGTCTACGTTTTATTTTAATAAAAAAACGGAGAACAAAAAAAAACAAAAAAAAGTGGTTTTCACCATACAAAAAATGTGTACACACGAATCAACTTGTCGCTTCGGTAGTATAGCTGAGAAGAAAGAATATCGTCGTCACGGCATCTGTAGTGACCGGTGGTTATGATGATGAGTTGTGGTGATGCCAACTTTGAACACGTTCATTGGGGGAATACAAGAATATTGGTACAAGTGCACAGTGTACGGCAGCTGAAGACAATAGGATAACAGGTATCGGACCGGTTGACTAGTGGAGGTTATCAAATACACGACTATCAAGAAATAATATTCACCTAATGCACACACCACTAATTGATGAGATCTAGAAAAACAAACTAGTACAAATTCTACAACATTACAATCGAATTGGTAATAGCAAAGATCTCGAATTCATGGCTATGATGTTTGAACTTTGTTTCAGTAGTTTTGTGGCTATAATGAAAAACCAGATAGAACTTATTTTCATACTTTTGTTGTAATAGTACAGATTGACTACTCATCGTAATAGAAATCACTCTGGGCGTATGTATTATATATATATAATAGATAGATAGATAGATAGCAACGGCTGTTCTCCTAAATTTTTATCAAAACTCTAGTGACAATAATAAGTGCTCTTCGATCGTGTTGGTAGCAAAAATAAGACCGTTAAAATTTATTTTGCCAAGCTTTATTTTGGTGCTAAAATATAAATATCTTATAGTAAAATCACAAAAAAAAAAAAACAAATTTCGTGGAAAAACTACCTAATAGTCAGACAGAAGTTCGTAATTTTTTTTCCATTATATCGTTTTAGCGAAATTATACATTTAAGGAATTATTTATTATACTGACAACAATATACAGTAGAAATCGGTTATAACAAGTTTCAATAGTCAGCTAGTTTTTCTCGTTATATGCGGTTAGAACGAGCATTCGTTGTAACCGATTAAAAGCGAGAAATACAAAAATAAAACCGACGACTTTTCTTATTTTACTTATAATCGAGATTAATACTGAATTTATACATGTATGCACATACATTATTTATACATTAATACTATATAATTATTAATTATTATAATTGGAAATTTAATACTTTACTTATCAATACATATTACATACTTAAACATAATTATAAAACACTTGAATTTAATTTGTTAAAATAATCTTTGATTGAATTTTGCTTCGTGTATTTAGTGTTGATCGATATTTCTAATAAAGACAACATTTTTCGTTTAGCATCTGTACCTTCATATTTCGTGTAATAAAATCTTTCTAGTGTTCTCAATGCAGCACGAGCTTCGGATATTTACGGCACAGTTTCAAACTCATCATCAAGCTCATCGATACAGTATCATTATACTATATATGTTGATAACGTCGATTTTTACTTGTGACGTACTTTTTTCTTTTCAGATTTTGTATTGAATTTTGTTGATAAAATACTTATTAATAAACCCACATCAGAGTGGTATTTAAAATTTCACCATAAAAACTTGAAATTTTATATACAAATAACGAAAAAATCAACTTTTCTCATTTAATTTTTGTTGTATATGTATTAATGTGCTTTTCAATTCTTTATCTAGAGGGTTAATTATCCAACCTCCTCAATTAAGGGCAAAAATGGCTAGTACCCATTTGGACTATAGTCCATTTGTATCATGGGTGGGCACAGCTATTTCTGTGTACTGTACTCATTTATGTACTCCGCTGCTCCCTCATTTTATTATAATGCTGTATCGAATTAACGGTCCATTGGATAAAATAATTATACGAACAAAATTTCAAGTTTTTTTTATTCTATTTTTAAGTTAAAAAAATAGTTTTTTACCCGAAATGGGTGAAAGAAAATATTTTACCTCATATTATCGTAGAGTTTTTTTAATTAGAATACATTTTTTCTTTACAAAAATTTTAAATTTTCAATGCTTCCTAAAAAACTGAGTGTCTTACACAAAATCAATCTTAAGAATCTTAAAAAAGAAAGATAAAATTGTCCTTAATTAATATCATTTTCATACAATCAATCAAAATATGAAGAATTGGATAAAATTTAGTTCTTAGTAAAAATTATTTTTTTTCTATATTAAACATATTTTGTTGATATGACTCATGGTTATTTAATACAAAAAAGTGAATAATATTTTATTTATCCTCTTATTTATATGTCATTACTAATATTTTCTTTTTTTTTATAAAAGTATAGTCATTTCAACTATAGAAAAACATAAAATCTATTTATTTTAAATAACATATTTAGAATCAATTATCATATGATAATTATAAAAAATTTAATAACTTCAATAAAATTGTTGGAAAATAATACAAACTTTAATAAATTCTTAGTGAGCAATTATAACCCCATTGTTCCTTTCTCATGCTTAAGTACTAATAATTGTATTTTTTTGTTAGCCTTGTCAATTTAACATAAAATTAATTCAAAGTCATTAATGTGAGCGATATTACCCATCGGGCAGTAAACGTACACTCTCCCCTTTATACATTAAGCAAAATTAAATAATGAACATAAAAAAAGTGAATAACATTCAAAAAACAAGATTATGNCAATGAACATAAAAAAAGTCAATAACATTCAAAAAACAAGATTATGTGAAAAATATAATAAAAATAAAATGTTTCCTATATATTTTAGTAGGTTACAATCT